AACTTAACCAACACCTACCTATGGCTGCGAAACATGGATCACCTACAGAAGACTGTAATCCCTTTTTATTAATGAATTAACAAGAGGCCCATAATATGCTCGGTTTGCTCAGCGAATAAATATTAGGGGTGCGTTGATAGTTTAATAAGTACAGAATGGCAAGGGCACCACTGAATTTGAAAAAATAAATATGGAAGGGTGAAAATTCAGAAACACACCTAAAAAAAATAATCTGCAGACGGTAATTGATAACTCTGAAAAAAAAATATAGTACTAGCGGTTAGTCTCAAAAAAGAGCGATATTTGGCAAATTTGTCTAAAAGCACCAAATTTCACAGGGACCTTTTTTAGATCACTTTAAGTGATTTGGCCCGCAGGGCCAGCCCAAATCTTGACTGTGACTCAAAATGGCGACGATTTTTCAAAATGGCGGACCATAAATCGACAATATTTATTTACCAACAGTTTTAAACGTTCAACATATCGTTTTTAACTAATTTTGGGACGCGGATTTCATTAAAAATACTAGTTTTTACATTATCATTCAAGATCATATAAAAAAGCTATACAGGGTTGTCAAAAAACTATGCTATTAAAAAATATATTTTTAAATCCGTATAATAGTATATTATTTAACGAGCGGGTAATGATGGCTATTACTCACGAAGGATGAAGTTTGCACTACGAGCCGCAGGCGAGTAGTGTAATCATCCGAGCGAGTAATTGCCATTGCCCACGAGTAGAATACTATACTTTTTCTATGATTAATAGATAATAGGCACGAGTCATGCGGTTTTTTATTTAATTTTCGTACCTAACAAAATTAATTGACAATTCTGACAGCTGGTGGACAAAGTGAGGTTAGGTTAGCACAAGTCTTGTCCAAATCAGCTGTCAAAATGACCGATTGGAAGGTTGAAGCTTAGGCTGAAGTATGTTGTCAACTTGTCGAATTTCCTGATTGGCTCCTAAATAGTGGAGTAATGGGACCAGGATATTTTCATTGGTTAGAAACAATCAAGTAATGAAAAAAACTCACTGTATGAGTAATCATCTACATTGATCAGTAGAAAATGGATGTATATTACGCATATTATTCAATATCAACTCATAGACAAAATTGTTAATTTTATGTTTTGCTGTTTCAAATTCACGGTGAAACTACTGACATACTGACACATCAATTTAATAGTCATATACAGGGTGATCAAGCCAATAACATAGTTGAAATTTGAAGGTTCATAATAATTATATGTTACGGCCTCGGTTACGGCTAAAGCCCGAATGCCTGGATGTTATGTTAATTCAGTCCTAATAATTTTTTTCAGGAATGTTTGGGATTTTAGGTTTATTGTTAGGGTTTGGTTTGGCTTGTTTAGGTATGTTTATGTTTAAAACAAAAATAAACAGACACCAACAAACCTGGGTAATTCTATATTACCCAATATTAGGGTTTTACCCTCGGTTTTACCCGTAACATAATATGTTACACTTATAAATTTTTCTCTATAACAACAATTCAAAAATATACAAAGAGGATCTCGCTAAAAAATATTAGTAGCACACCCCCAACATCATTCGCTTTCTCCGCGCCCCCCACTCTAGCGCGGGAATTCCAAACCAAACTCTGTGTCATAGGTCATAGTTCGAACGGTCGATACTGATGTTGTGGTATTGTGTATTTCATTCATATACTTATCAGCTTCAGGCTAAGTATGGGTTTAGAAGAACTGTGGATTTTGTTTGGGTCTGGGAAAAATCGAAGATACATTGCAGCCCACAACATCGCTAATGAGCTAGGTACGGAGAAATGTATGGGCTTGAGAGGCTTTCATGCGTATACTGCGTGCGACAGTGTATCCTTTTTCAGTGGAAAAGGCAAGAAAGGAGCATGGAAAACATGGATGGCATGTGAGTTGGCAATCGAAGCCTTTAGGTTTATATCTTTGCCAAACAACCACATTCCATGTCACATTCAGGCACTTCTGGAAGAGTTTACTTCGAAGTTATATTGCGGAGTATAACCTCAGAACATCGAAAAGTTGATGAGTTATGGAAACAGCTTTTTTGCACTGAAAATAGGCCCTTACATCTGATTCCACCTAGCTCAGCTACACTCGCAGAACACTGTCTCCGAGCCGCATATTAAGCAGGCCAAATCTAGGGTAGATTGTTAGATATATTTTAATATGGTCCCCCTTCTCGAGGCTCTTGGGGTTGGACGTTGGACCAAACAAAATGAAATGTGGGAACTCGTTTGATCAAAATTGAATTCCATATATGGACAGCATTCAGGAAGTTGGAAAAGTGTGGCTGCAAGTCTGGCTGTGATTCCCAACGTTGTTCATGTCGACGCACAGGTTCACCTTGCACAATACAGTGCAAATGCAATGATGCATGTTTAAACAAGAGGTATAATTGAGTAGGATGAAAATTTTTAAAACATATACATGTAACTCCTTTTTAGTGAAAATCATGAAGACTTTTCAGAATAAAATCAAGAAAAATTACTAAACTGAGGATCTTCATATCATAGGTACTTTTTAACACTAATTTTTGATACAATTTCAACAGAATCAAAAACAAATTCAATTTAATTCAATTTTACGACGCAAAGTTAGTTGAAACTGACATATTAAACGCTAATAAGAGCTTTTAAAAAAAATAATTCATCAATTTATGGTACGCCATTTTGAAAGATGGCTGCCATGTTGACGAAAACTAAAAAATAATATCTTTATTGAATTCTACGACCCACATTTAGTCGAAAAAGACATATTGAACACTAAAATCTGTTGACCAATAATAATTACCAATTTATGGTCCGCCATTCTGAAAAAAAGGCGCCATTTGGATCCTAATGGAAAAACTAAATTTTTTTATGAGATCTACGATCCAAAATTAGTCGAAAACGACATATCGAACGCTGGAATTTGTTGATGAATGAGAAATACCAATTTATGATCTGCCATTTTGAAAAAAAGGAGCCATTTTGAGTCACAGTCAAAAATTGGGCTGGCCCTCCGGGTCAAATTTCTTAGAATAGCCTAAAATACATCTCTGCCAAATCTCATGCTTTTAGACAAATTTGCCAAATGGTTTGGACTAACCGCTAGTACTAATAAATAAAGCACATAACTCAACCAAATCCTGACATAGGTAAAACCAATAAAACAATTAAGTACTTAAGTTTCAAATTAAATTAGTGTATATTTTCAGTCAGTCAAAAATCAAGCATCAAATTTCAAAAAATGAAATCAATTATTGGTGGAATACTTTGAATAAAATTAATAAATAGAAGTTAACTCGCAATCAGTTTCATCAAATTCAAAACAAAAAAAGATAATGTACCTCAATATACTTGCCGTATAAGTTCATTAACAGTCGCTGGCCATATCATCAATTTGAAATAAAAATATAAAGGATTTAAGTTTCCAAAAAATTGATTTAAAACAAAAAAATGAATGATGGACAGTTAAAATATTATATGAATAAAATTGGTCAGTTGCTGTCAGAAAACAAAATCAATATAATCAAATTGCACTTGTATGAAATCAAAGGTTAAACGTTGAAGGTATAAAGGAGAAATAATAGAAATCCTCCAATATTGTATAAGTTATAGGACCCAGGGTTAAAAATTGGTCAATTTTCGACGATATAGGTACTTACTCAGGTATTTTAAAGTTAAAACATGTTGTCCAACAACCTTGACTTCAGTTTAGATCATTACTTATAAATAATAAAATATACATTCCTAAAATATGGCAATATTAAAAGTTAAGCAAAGACAAATCCATAATAAATTCGATAAATCGGAAGGTAATTATTTCATCATCACCTCGGTGTCAAGAATGAGAGATTTTAAATGTGTATGTAAGACATATCAAAAAAAAAAAAAAACATCACTAAATTTTATTAATTGATTATAGAACTGATTTCATAAAAAAAGATATTAAAAGTTATTAATGGAACTTTATACAAGCCTCCATTCCAACAAAAAGGTAGGGCACGGTAGCCATCCATTCCCGACCATTTGACGAGGGAAGTTGCAAGTGGAAGTCGCAAACTCTAGCCTGGAATCAAGGCTAGGAGTTCAGTTTTTTTCGTCAAATGTGGGGCACACGTATCGACTCGTGAGGGTCTTGATTCCTGTAGGAATCCCTTCAAAAGCTCTATGCCACGCTCCACGGAAATGGTGTTCTTTTGAAAATGTGGCCTATTAGGAATGGATTTGTTGAGAGAAACAGCTCTCCGGAAAACCCTAAGTAATAGAGGCATTCTTCGAACAACCATCACTTAAAAAAAATACTTACTACGAGGGGGTTTGGAATTCAAACTCAGATAAAATGGTAATCACAAGACTTTTGGTTTAAATTTTTTCGGTAATCAACGGATTATTGCCTCACGCAACTTTATTTCGTTAAAATAATGTCTGATGGCCGATAAAGAAGGTACTTTATTTTCCACGAGCACGGTTTTCTCAGGAAGATGGCGGTTTTCAGCCCAGGATCGACCTTTCAGCTCGACGACGGCACAATTTGAAAGACTAGAGAAATGAAACGAACAAGGTGAGCAGACAGCGCTTCCCCTCAAAATAGTCAACAGAAAGCGTTGGTACCAAACCGGTACGTCAAATTTGAACGAAAATCGTGCCCTCTAGTTCAATAATTTAATAATCGCTAATATTATAAGTAGCAGAAACTCTTTTTTTAATGCTAGTCACCAGACTGCCAACATTAAAAGGTAATGTAAAATTGAATTTGAAAGAAAAAAGGAACAAGTAAAAAGTCTAGAAAGAGCGATGCCTAAGAAGGATCCTACGGATTACATGGCAAGGCCGACGAACGAATATTAGTGTTTTAGAGGCCGCCAAAAAAACTAGCATGGAAGCCCTTATCATTAAGCACCTACTTTGTATGTATTGAAATCACGAAACTTGTGAATGTTTTTCAGAAAATAGTCGCGCATTTTTGAACTATTTTTTCTCGCAGTGCCTTAACCTTTGAGGAGTCTTCTTCCAGGACTTCTTCCCTTCCAAACCACTAGATTTTTTTAGGCATGGAATAGAAAAACGGACACTTCCTTTGGAAATAGTCGTGAGTAATGGAGGTAAGTCTACATAATTATATTTAATTAGATCATGTGTTTTGTTAATTACGAGAGATAAAATTTTAATTTATTTAAAACTATTTGTACCAAACATTCAATTATTAAGTCTCAATAGAGGTCAATTCCTATTCATTGTATTAATCAGTCGATACTTCTCAAACTAGTATCAACCTAGAGGTTTAATTATTATTCAAAAGTTGTGGAACAATCGATAACAACTAATTCTCGACAGTGTACTAGAATTGACATTAATTTTAATGCTTTTTGATATCGATTATCCTCACCTATTATTTCTTTACAATATATTTACTTTTATCATCTGAGCTCGCTATGCCTGATCTTATTGGCTTTAATGGATCATGATGACTCCACCCAACTAACTTTGTTTTAGTAAGGAAACAGCTGCTCTATCTTTATATTAAGTAAATAATACTATTTTTTTCCAGAAAACTTGTAGTTAGACAGTAGACAAATATGGATAAAAGTGACACAAAAATGTTTTATTGTATGTAGGCCCCATTATTTATTTTATATCCAAGACAATAATATTTCTGTTTTGATAGACCCGATATACTCTAAAAAAAAACCTACGTATGCCAATTTAGGTCAATGCTTTATTGGATATGATTGGGAATTTAATTGTTAAGTAGGTATCATGCTATTTACAAAAATATAAAAGTATCATTTATCATAATAATAAAGATAATGTGGCATAGGTTTAAGTGAGTATAAAATCATTATTTTATTTATTTATTTATTTTCCTGTTGGGAATATGGATTATTGTATTGGGGAATTTAAAACAATGAACCATACTTAGACAATCTGTTGCTTTCACTGTCGTGAAACAAAAGAAAATTTTTGTCATATAATAGTTACTGGGCTATTCGTTCAAATTTGCCTCGACTATCCACTTGCCACCTGTAAATTTCGTCTTGCTGGATTTTGGATAGTCTACCCTTAAGGCCATTATGTCATTGTTCATAATTAAATACTCATTTTCTAGTGTAGGCCTCTAAATTTTTAGAAGTTTCTACCCAATAAGGGAATCATTGTTTGGGGAAGGTTGCTCTACCTGCATTTAACTAATATCTACCTACCCTTTCTCCATTACAAACAAACTAAACAATAATTAACTATTAAAATTATTGTTATTTTTCTTTTAAGTCGTTTATGGAAAATAAAAAATACGAGTATAATTTTTCGATACCAGTTTCTCTAACTAACCTTTTTACATTTTCACAGGCAAAAACATACTTTTTCTTTTTTCTTCAAACTACACTCAGGGTGACTCCGGCCTCTTGTTTACTTTAGAAAGACCCTTCCAGGTATCTACCAGCAGTGAGTCATAAAATCAAGAAACTTTCCTTCAAATTTCTACTGGTAGGTAACTGGTTACACATTTTATTATATTAATTTTATTGCCTTTGCTTTGGTTTTAGATAATTTCAACATTACCTTTCGGAACCGTTTATTGGTTTTGGAATAATCCTCCAGTGTCAGTGAGTTCAATGGTGTTGCTTTGTTCAGTAGCAGCCCCAGCCTACTGTTTTTTGTTGTTAATTATTGTTTATTTTATTTGTGATGGAAAAGGGTTTGTAAAAGCCATTGAGATAGGAAAATTGGCCAGAGGTCACTGACCTTGGCCTTGACCTAATAGTAAACAAAAATCATGACAAATAAAAATCCCTTTTATCGTTTTCGTACTTTATACTGTGCCGGACTAGTACAGCTACGGATCTCTTTGTCTAATTCGTATTTAGACAAGGAAAAAAAATTGTCGAAACGTTATTGTCGTTCTATTTTTTATGTCAAAAGTAGGGCTGTACCAAAGTCGATACACAAAGCGATTTTGATATGTATATATGCCTCCATTTTTGTCGATGTGTTAAAAAAGGAAAATAAAGATTTGTTTGGAACAAGGAAATTTGGCAATCACGGATTTTTGATTGGTGCAAAATATGGCGCAAAATTCAAATGATTTGATATTTTTTTCTTTCAATTTCTGACTTCAAGATTTTTTTAAAAAATAACCAACCATACTTCTATGAAGTATAACAAATACACTCTCGTTTCAGATAAATTAAATACCTAATTTCGATTGAGTGCAAGAGGTCTATTGGTCTTTCAACCGTTTGGTAAATCCAATATACAATTTTTGGTCTTATCCCCCATGTTTTTCCCACGAATTTGCGGCATGTTCAAATGGCCGCCGTAGCTTGTGATATTGTATTGCTCAGATGGTTATTCCAAGTAAGTTTGCAGTCCAGGGTCCAGGGTGATCCCTAAATACCTGACTTCATCCGAGAGAGATAATCGAGCGCTGTTTAGAGTGAAGGGTCGCAGATCCAGCTTCCTTCTTCTCGTAAACGGAACTAGGGTTGTTTTGTGGGAAGTCCTTCTTCCTCGCTCCAGTTTTTGATTATATTCAAGGCAATTTGCATTCGGCCTGTTATTATGCCTTCATTCTTGCCTCTGATTATTACTGCCAGATCATCTGCGTAGCCTAGGACAGTTATTCCGACGTTACTTAGTCTGATAGGGATGCTGTCTACCACTAGTGTCCACAGTAGAGGCGAAAGGCCAAAGTCTTGCTCTGACAATTCAAAAAAACTCATTACTTACTCCAGGGCAGTGCATAAAATTGGCCGTGAGCCATAATAAATTCTACTTGCAACCAGTAGTACGGTTGCCTGGGCCCTGCACTAGTTGCTAGTTGCTCGGAGCACACACACACGCCTAAAGTAGAATGATGATGAGCTTTGGTACTCCAAAAATCGACAAGGCACCATAGGACCCACTGGTAAAACCCTAAAGAAAGCACGTTTTGGTTTTCACCCCATGTATAATCCATTATAGAACAATTCCTTAAATGAAATTCCAGAATAGCCTACATCAAAATAAATATTTAACACATATCTTTTCAATCGGGGATACACCGTCGTATATTTTACGGATGAAAAGGGCACTAAGGCATTCAGCCACAGATATCATCAAAATTCCGGTGAACTAGTGCCAAAAGCACCGGTACGTAGGATTCTAATCAATCATAAAGAAAAACAAGGTAGGAATAGAGTTGGATTTAATTGAACAGGGTAACTTATCGACGTCTTAAAATACCTCTACGAGGTTTGTTAAATTCCACACAAAACAAATCCGCAAACATCTACCAGCACAAAGCTTGTTTCATGGAATAAACATCATACACAGTCACAGCGGAATTCTACTATTAAAATTTGAGGAGAAATCCCAAAAATGGAAGCACACAACGCCACACGCCTCAAGTTCTACCAACGCTAGAAAGGAAAATATCCAACCCTTAATTCCTTGCAGGAACATCAATGCGCAGGTCAATGTCAATACCCGTTCTTTCACAAGCACCCGGAACAAAAATACGTCGACTGAATGCAGTGGTCCCATGAACAACCCGATCATGTACCGTACTCCAGTCAATTAAATCCATAAGTGTCACCCAATATGACAACCACCGAGAACAGTTGATCTCCTTAACCAAAGATGACACTAAACAATAACATTTAAATCTTCCCAAAATATTGAACAAAAAGCCTACCAAGAATATCCAATAAGGGTACGCAACATAAATATTATAATATGAACATAACAATATCATTTTAGGGCTCGACATGACGGACCGGCCAAGAACTTGTGTATACATTTAAAGAAAAACCCAACAAATAGCCAGACACACCGAAAAATTATTATTGAGAAGAAACTGAATGAATGAAGTTAATTCCCAACAATTTCCTATGATGTAAATAAATCTCATAACAATTGAAAAAAAATCATGAACATGTTGTTAATGAAAGGAGCGGAAATTGAACCGTAACACGTTACCCAGAGTGAGGGTAGATTTGTTTATAATCAATAATTTGATATACTAGATGACAGGCCTGTCTCTTCCAGGCAATGTAAGCAAAATTGTTTGTTATATTAACGGAAGATCATTTAAAGAATCTATAAAGAATGTGTACGATGTAAATTACTAAAAAAAAATAATTTATTTTTTGCCGTCACACCAGGCAACTTGAAGAAAAATGGCCACCTAGTGGTCAATTTCAATTTCTCGGGTTTTTTAGCTGAAAGAAATTGTTTGGCAATACTGTCTCTGTGCGAAGACGCGACGAAAGTGGATGGTTCGACGTGGGATCAGAGATAAAATGCGCGAAGAATCCGCGCTAAGCTAGACCGAAATTGAAAAATCTGGCTCCGTTGTAATATTGCAAATGTCACTTGCTTTTTTTTAGATAAATAATTTTTACATTTTAAATTTTATATAATTATTCAGCCAAATGACGGCATCTGTTGCCGGCTGAATGTATTATTTTATCGGCGACCTCGAGAAGGGAGTAGGCGTTTTCTTTTGTACTACCTAGATCTACTCGACCCCAGTACTTCGTTGCTCTTTAATCTCGTTAATAGTTTTCGAACGTAGTAGTTTTTACATAGCTGAGGGTCAACAGGTTAACAGTGTTTTGAAGAAGAGTCCCTTTTCTACTCTTGCCGTTGCCTTAAAAAGGTCCGAGTGTGGCCTAGGGGGTCAGCCACCTTCCTCAAGTCAAATTACCGGTCTCGTGGAAAAAGTACCTTATCGAAATAAAGTTGTGTAAGGCAGTAATCTGTTGATTGCAGAAAATTCGAATCAAAAAGTCTCGTGATTACCGTTTAATTTAAGTTTGAATTTCGAAACCCACGTGGTAAGTTTCTTTAATTTTTTTTTAAGTGATAAAGTGATAGTTGTTCATGAAATATCTCTATTACTTAGGTTTCTACCGTGGGCCTATTTTACCGGGGACCTGTATTTTCCGAGAAGCTGTTTTTTTCAAGGGATCTATTTTCAACAAGCCCCATCTCTGGGCATAGAGCTCTTGACTCCTTCACGTGTCGATTCCTGTACCTCTACCTTTGACGAAGAAAAGTGAACTTCTAGCCTCTATCTTTCAGGCTAGAATCTACGACTTCCAGTGCAACTTTCCTCGTCCAGTGACCA